AGATTCTCTTTCCACCATTATCTCCCTTCCTCCTTCCCTGTGAGATGATTTGCACTGGTGGCTGTACAAAGCTCATACATTGATGGGTGTGCTACTTTCTCCCCCATGTCCAGATCTACATTTGTTCACAGACACATTCCTTCAAGGTTGGGGCATGAATCAATCACCAGGAAGCTTCAGGCCATTGGTCTGCAGACGAATCTGTCTTACATATCAATGTTCTCGAACATCTAGTGGTACATCGGGCTTTACATCACTTCCTTATTTTCATTCATCATTGTCTGGTGATGGTTCATTCAGACAACTCTATAGAAGTGGCACATATCAACCACCAGGGGGAACCTGGTCCAGAGACTTCTGTTTTCAAATGCTGGAGCTCTTATACTGGGCCCATGCACATCACATCATCTTATCACATGTCATGAGCCTGGTGCTTTCAATCTTGTTGCAGATCACCTTTTGCAACGAGACTAGATCTATCCTACAAAGTGGGCATTGGATCCTCTCATTTTCCAGGACCTTTGCCATCATTGGGGTTCTCCCCAATTAGATGCTTTTTCCACGGGCCTCAATTTCAAGTTGTCCCTCTTTTGGTCACCCTTACCACATCCTGAGGCCTTGGTGGTCTATGATCCAGTTTCACACATAAAGTTGGCTACTTGTTAGCTTGTCCCTTACGACCATCTTCTTTAGGAGTCTACCAACGTAAGTGGAATATATTCTGCTGTTGGTCTGTTAACAGAGAATTTCCTGCTGACAAGCCATCTGTGGCTCATGTTGTGGAATTTCTCACCTGGCTGTTCGACCATTGTTCTTTGGTGTCCTCGCTTGTAGGATATCAAGCAGCCCTATCCCATATCTTCCATTTTTTCCAGATACCATAAGGTTTTCCTTTCTCCTGTTCTTACTGTGCTCATGTGTTTTTTCAGGATTCAATGGCCACTGAGACATCCTGCCCTTCTGGATTTGGACATTAATGTCCTCCATGCTCTCACTTTACTTTGAACCACTTTCCTCTTGCTCCTTGTTTCATCTGTCCCTTAAAACTTATTTCCTTCTTCTGTTGGCCTGTGGTCATTAACAGTTGGATCTGTTTGCCATAGACATATCATGTACCCTTTATCACCCTACCTATCTTCTTCTCTATCCCAATCATTCCTTTCTCCCTAAAACCTCAGCAGTTCAGGAAGGTTAATCATCCTTTTCTCTATTTCCCAGCCTTCAATATCCCATCTTTCCCTTCGACCTGATCCGGATATACTTCTGTGTCCAGTCTGGGCCCTTTGTTGTTATATCGCATGTACTGCATCTTTTTGGGGTATGCACACCTGCCTATTTATTCCATGGCAATCCCTCTCCCTTCGTGATCTTTCCCCTTCTTCCCTTACGAATTGGGTCTGTCTTTTGGTTTGTTTCATCTACTCTTCCCTGCCTTCTTCCTTCCATATCTTGTTTCATGTTTCCTCCCATCAAATCAAACATCTCACCTTTTCCCTCACTTCTCGTCTTCATCTTCCAATGGAAAAGATTCTCTAGTCGGGCATGTGGACCACTTCCAGTATGTTCATCTCACACTATATTCATCATATCTTGCTTTCCTCTGTGTCAGGGTTTCATCTGCCACCTGTGGCCATTCTCCAGACTTTGGTGAGACTTTGAATGGTAAGTTTTCTTCATTTTTATTTGTCAGGGCCTTTTTCTCTCTCTTTTTTTATCACAGATCCTTCTCTGTGTGTGAGTGGTGCCTACCCAGGTATTCTTTAACTCTAAATCCACACTATCCGCCATGTTGACTAACGCTTTTTAGCCCATGGATACACATGCTCACAGTTGAGGTGGGGTGTTCTACAAGATCACTTGCAGGTGAATAACCATGTTATGTTATTGTTTCATAAACATGCACGTCCTGGACCATATCACCTATGGACAACATGGAAGAGCAGAAGGGGATTGCTGCCCATCCCTGCCATGCCTCGTGTGAATAACCAGGTGTGGTCTGCTTTTCAAAATAGGGTTTTGTGGCCACCCATTGCACTGTCTTTGGTTATGATGTTCCTCTGGGCTCTCCACTACATAGTCACCCTCCTTTCTTCAAGTGTAGTATGAAAGTCCTTTCCACGTACAGTTCCAAACCACTGGGGTGATGGGCCATGGAGGCACCCTCCTGAATGAGTTTTTCAGACCATTCAGTTGAGAGTAGGGTTGTGGTGTTCTGCTGGTGTAGATGCGACATGGCCTCCAGAGGAGGTGAGATGTTGCCTTACTGGTTGACATGGCCTCCTGATCATGTAACACACCAACATTGGAGTTGAGCCATCCTCTTATGGGATGATAGGCCTCCTGATCCACTTTATTTTCACGCTGGAGTTGAGCCTTGGCACTTGCATTTCACTCTTTGATTGGGTGCCCTCATTCTACCTTTGTGTGGATTATAGTGAACAATCAACATAAGTCCTCCCATGGAGGCAGGTTGTCTCTCTTCCTCCCTCAATTGCTCCATCTGTGGCTTTTGTCACTTCATAGTTAGTTGGCTGGTTCCAGAGCTCTCATTGACTATCCCTCATTCTTCTTATTGGGATGTTATCGTCTTTGGATGGTACTGGCCTGTGCCATGGTTGTGGGAGTTGATTCCATTTGATGGACATCCTGTCGCCATAGCATACCCAGATATCAGTGCGGGTCTTAAAACCCCAAATTTTTGGTTTGAGGTGAAGACAGTATGATCCTCATTTCCTCCCCCCCCCCCCACGTGGATGTCGGTGCACTGTAGGGAGGTTTTGGATGTAGTTGACTTACTGAGTACGGTCCGACGTGCCCTAGCCACTCTACACCTTACATTTCCGCCCTTTTGCATGTCACACAGTCCACAAGGGCGAAGAGTATACCTGTCTCTATCTCTCAGGTTCAGAGGTATTCTTTGGATGCTTTCGGGGGTGCTTTTTTTTGTTCCCTTGCAATGGTCCCTCCTCCTATTCAATGTGGGATTCTAGCTAATCTTGTGATCTTCAGATCTCTATTTCTCAGGTGCAAAGGTATACTTTCGGGGGTGATTTTTTTGTCCCCTCGCACTGGTCCCTCCTCCTTTTCAATGTGGGATTCTAGCTAATCTTGTGAGAGGAGGTAAGTACCGCATCGGTATTTATAATTTTCCTATACTCAAAATATATTTCTGACAGGTACTTCCCTCCTCTCACACTTCCCACCCTTCCTCCCCACTTTCCGGTGTTCGAACCTTCTCCCAAACTTCGAAGTGAAAGTTCGGTAGAAGAGTGTAGAGGGAGTCACATGCCTCAGGCTACTATTGGTTGAGAGAGACATTTTGGAACATGATATTTCCAACAGAGGGGGTGCGCAAGGCTTGTGGCATGCGTGCGTTATGAAAAGTTCGCATATATTGGGCAGCACTTAACGAGAATAGCTAATATTATGAAAGGAGATAAGTACCTATCAGAAATACATTTCCGTATAGGAAAATTATAACTTCTTGTAGAGGAGACTTTTCATTTTTTAAACTTCCCAATTTTTTCTTAATCAGCTCAGAATTAAAGCAAGCTCAGTAGTATAATAACGGTTTTTTGTTTTTATTTTTTTACAATTATACAAATTGAAAACAGTTTTCTTAATTCACCCCTGATGGATTTTTCAACAAAATGTCTTAAAAGTATTCAATCAATGCAAAAGCAAAGTTCATTATATAGTCAGTCTAAAAATAGGAATTTGTTATAATAATATATTTTAAAACTTTCTATCATTTTATATAGGTCAAATTAAAATAAATTAAAAATGGAACTAAATATCATTAAAAATGTGAATCATTCAGGTAGTGCATCCATACTATCATTTTGCGGTATGGGTTTAGAGAAAGATGTTAAATTTTGAATGACAGAGAAATTACTAGAAATACCAAATAAACTAAAAATTTAGCACAAGGATAAAAGT